CAGACAGAACCCTACGTCGGAATGTGATTCACAGTCAGTAAGATCCCTTGGCAGAACTGACCTGCATTATCCTCAGGCACCTCCCCAAGGGGAGTTTTCTATCATTCCACACCGGTAGTCACATGGGGTACAGGAAGAGGGAGAAGGAGAGGAGCAAATGGAGCAAATACATGCAGTATCAATTTAAGTTAGTGAAGCCCTATTGGAGGCAGATTCCCCAGACAGGGGAATGTTGGATGACGAGGGCATCAAGCCTGACCAACCTACCTTTATGGGGCTGTTCCATCCACAACTTTTCAAAGGTCTCCTTTTCAAGGCCAAGGCCACAGCTCATCTCGAGAAGGCTCCCTCTATCCAACAACCTGAATCTCAAGAAGAGTCAGATGACTTGATTTTCTCACAATCCATTAACGAGGTTGATATCATTCTAGTTCCACAAATGTTTTCAGATCTCATCCAGATATAGTGGGCCTCAGCAGCAGTTTGTCCAGCCCACACAACATTTGATAAAAAATTCTTTAATCTAGCTTCGGAATTTTCTAATTCCTTGAATATCCCTGAAATAGATGAGCCAGTAGCGGCCTTGGCATCCTCCTCCACCATTCCCATCAAGCAGAGGAGGCCCTTAAGCCAGAGGAGAAGAAAGCCGAGATAGCTCTCCAAAAGGCACATCATTCCGATGCGTGGGCCATAAGGGTGGCAACAACCACGTCCTTCTTCACTAGGTCCTCCCTCAGATGGCTCCATCACCTGAGGGACACCATACCAAATTCTAATGTCAGGGCACATCAGGACATCGCCAAACTAATGACAGCAGCAGTTTTCTGCGGATGCTACATACAATTCGGTCAAATTTTCAGCTCAAGCATCGCAGGTTACTGCCCGTCACTTGTTATGGCTTAGACATTGGCAAGCTGATACCAACTGAGGCCAGAAGCAAAAAGAAGATTCTCCCCTCCCTCCTTCATCGCTCAGACAACAGAACCTTTCAGCCCTTTCAGAGAGGCTCCTTTCATCCCTATTATCGAGGTACATTCTCACCTATTCCAGAGAGTCCCAGGATATGGGGTGCCCCACAGTCAGATAGATCAGAATTTGCTGATAGAACACGCAGGGGAGCACAAGGGAGAAAATCATTTAGAGGAATAGGGAGCAGGGGTTTCCGACACCCAAGATAACTCCAGGGATTTTGCTCCTATTGGAGAACAGTTAAGACTCTTTGCAGACCGTTGGGACTCCTCTACATCGGATTCCTGGGTCCGTGACACTGAGATTTGGCCTAGCTCTAGAATTCCGCTCCACTCCTCTGGACTTTTTCATGAAATGCCCTCTCTCCAGGGATCCTGTTAAAAGGAACTTGATGGAGACAGTGATCAAGCATTTATTGGAAATCAAAGCCATCCAACCAGTAGCCCGACATCAACAAGGGCACAGGTTCTATTCACTACTTTTCGTAGTCCCTAAGAGTTCAGGGGGATGGAGGGCAATCCTAGATTTAAAAAGACTAAACCATGCTCTAGTCTATCGCAAATTTAAAATGAGTACATTGCAAACCATTCTGCTTAGCATAAGGAAAGGCGACTTTTTAACTTCCATTGACTTAACAGAGGCTTACTTACACATTCCAATTAGACCTTCTCACACCAAATTTCTCAGATTCTGTTACAACAACCGACGTTTTGAATACGTCGCCCTGCCCTTTGGGCTGTCATCTGCCCCATGAACTTTTACAAAGTTTCTGGCAGCGTTAGCTGCCCGCCTTAGGGGCACTCCTGTCAGACTACAATGCTACCTGGATGACATTTTGATCTTATCTTCCTCATCTAGGCAGGCAGAATGGGATACTCAAATTACATTGCAAACTCTTCAGCAACACGGTTTTTCCATCAATTGGGCAAAGAGTCAGTTGTATCCTTCAACTCAATTATCTCACTTAGGCTCAGTAATAGACACGATGGAAGGAAAAGTTTTTCTATCCCCGGAGAGACAGGAGAGCATTAAAATTTTAGCTCAGAATACCAGAGGGCCCGGTTCCACACTAGATCGCTCCAATGGTTCCTACTTCCGTACCAAAAATCGGGGCAAAGCAACTCTAAGATTCGAGTTCTAATACCTGCAAAAGTCCTGATTTCTCTGCACTGGTGGACTGTTCCGGTCATAAACAAGGGTTGTCCATTGAGGGAGCCCCACAGACTCACCATCGCTATGGATGCCAGCCTGTTTGGATGGGAAGCACATTTCCAGTCCCTATGGGCTCAAGGGCATTGGTCAGCAACAGAATGATCGAACAGGATAAATTGGTTGGAGCTCAGGGCAATCCATCTAGCTCTTCACAGCTTTCTGCCACATATTCAGACAAAGAACATCCTCATACTTACAGACAACGTCACTACAAAGGCACATAACAACAGACAAGGGGGCACTCATTCGAAACAGCTCATGAGAGAAGCAAAGAGACTGTGCCTTTGGGCGGAAAGGAATGTGGCTTCCATCAGGGTGGAGCATATTTCAGGACTAACAAACACACAGCAGACTGGCTAAGTAGGGCTACAGTCGACCAATCAGAGTGGCGCCTGCACACGGAGCTGTTTCAGGAGGCAGTACAGAGGTTTGGCTTGCCAGTTATAGATCTGTTCACTTCTCCCCTGAACTCGCAGCTTCTGAGATTCATTTTGAGATACCCATCCCACGGGGTGGAGAACATTAATGCCCTTCATTGCCGGTGGCCACAGGGACTCCTATACGCTTTCCCCACCACCACCACTGATACCCAAGGTGATCCAGAAGCTACTGGACAAGAAAGCAGACCTGATCTTGGTGGCTCCATACTGGCCCAGGAGGCCATGGTTCACGGATCTCAGGGGTCTCTCCACAGAAGAACCATGGAGAATCCCACTGCACAGAATTCTGCTCACCCAGGGACCGATCCAACACTGGGACCCTCAATGGCTGCACCTAGCCATTTGGAGGTTGAGCAGAGACATCTAAGAAAGGGGAATCTCTTGACCAGAGTAATCAACACCATTTAAGCTGCTCAGCGACCTTCAACGAGCAGCATATATAATGCCACTTGGAATAGTTTCTATAAATGGTGCACCAAATCCAAAGTGCATCCATTTTCTCCGTCAGTGCCACAAGTTTTAGAGTTTCTTCAAGATGGGCTTGATAGGGGTCTCGCACCAAACACTTTAAGATGACAGGTGGCGGCTATTGCCTCAGTGGTGACCTGGAAAGGTCTAACATCCATCTCACACCACCCAAGGATAAGGAGTATTCTTCGAGGCGCCACAAATTTATGTCCACCGTTATCCAACCTGGGACCTCAACAAGGTACTCACAGCGCTCACAAAAGGCCCATTTGAACCACTGAAAACTACCAGTTTCCATCTTCTCACATACAAGGTAGTTTTCCTCATAGCATGATGTATCTCAGAAATAGCAGCTCTATCGGCCGTAAGGACCTCTGTATTTTTCATACAGACAGAGTGGTTCTCCATCCAGACCCCACGTTCACACCAAAAGTCAATTCTGCTTTCCACAGGGCACAAAAACTTGTTCTCCCAAATTTTTGCCCCAGGTCTTCTCAGGGTCTAGAACATCAATGGCACCGACTGGATGTCCACAGAGCTCTCAGTATGTACTTACATCGAATGGCTCCCTTCAGGAAAACTGAAGCCCTCTTTGTATCTTTTCAGCCAACCACTCAGGGCCATAAGGTCTTACCTCCTACTATAGGCAGGTGGCTGAAAGCCACAATAGCCAAGGCATACGAGACTCAATCATTACCCGTGTCTAGGGGCATCACAGCTCATTCTACAAGCGCAGCAACTTCAGCGGCCTGGGCCACACAAGCCCCTATAGCAGAAATATGTAGGGCGGTAACATGGGTTTCCCCATCTCCTTTCATTAGGCATTACAAAATTGATGTCTTTGCTTCTGCTGAGGCCTCCTTTGGAAGGAGGGTGTTACAATGAGTCCACTCAGACAGTGGGAGGGGGGCTCCAGACCAGACGGAGACCCTCCTGTAGGTCAAGCCAAGCTTTGGTATGTCCCACTCTCTGAATGCTCGGAGCAGCTCAATGGAGAAAGGGCATTGGTACCTACCTGATACACCCATTCTCGGTGAGCTGCGACGAGCATTCAGCCCCACCCAATATCCATCTGGGGGGATCCTGGTCTGGCCAACAACTAATCTAGAAATATGTAAATAATAGTAGTAGTAGTAGTAGTAGTAGTAGTAGTAGTGGTGGTAGTAGTAACCACAAACAAGCAAGAGAGTCAAGAGGGCAGGGGTTGCATCACCTCGTCTTCACCAAAACTGGGGGACGCTAGGGAGGAGCCAGGGAGGAGTAAGAGCGTCCTAACAATTAAGCCCAGCCTATCCGAGCAGAGACTAAACACCTCCCACTCTCTGGATGCTTGTCGCAGCTCACCGAGAACGGGCGTATCAGGTAAGTACCAAAGCCCTTTCTGTTATTATTCTGACCGGTTCTATGTTGGATTACTCTGTCCCTTTTACAGCAGCTCATTGGGAAGAAAGGAAGAGGAAGACAGCAAGAAACTAGACAAAAGGAGAGAAAGAGTAATGGCAGCAATCACTTCCTTTTGGCTTTGCTTGTTTTTTTTGCAGTGCAATGCCTAATATATTTACCCTACTCCAGTTTCCAGGAAATATAGCCCATAATACCTAGCATTCTCCACCTCTCCTTTAAAGATGCAGGGGAGTGGGGGAAATAGACACCAAACTTAATTCAGAGTGTCTCCTAGTTACATCCTTTATTTTTGTCTCTAGTGCATTTAAATGAGTCTGCATTTTTCATAGTACCTTCAAAATAGTATTATTTTCTAAACCAGGTCTGCAGCCCACTATATTGCATGCCCCCCCACCCCCCACTCCTTAAGCAGCTTGTCAGTCTGGTTCCCTGGGGATATTTTTCCCCTTCTCCCACTGATTATTTGTGAAAGCTGGAGGAGAGTAATTTTTCTATTGACTTGTGCTTTGTCAATTCTTCATATTGCTAATTGCCTAATTAGACACTCCAGCAGGGTTAAAGCATCTTTAATGGAGCTCTGCATCTCCTTCCCCTCCCAGCTGAAGGTCTTCATTTTTTTGAGAGGAAGTTGTCTGTTTTATATTTGGGCTGGAATTGGGCAGCTGAAAGAGACTGACTGTACTCTTGCAAGGTGCCTGAGTCACAGGTATGCATTTCCATTATGCAACCAGCAATTTAGCTATTACTAGACAACCCATGCCCCATTGGGTCATTGTTTCAGAAATAATATTTCTTTATCTTAAAACTGTGAGTGGGCTAAAAAGCAGTGAGAGCAGGAGTGACTTCCCACTTCCTGCCAGCTCCCCTATTGAATTTCTTTGTAGGAAGCTGGCAAGATCAGAAATCTTCCTTCCTTCCTTCCTTCCTTCCTTCCTTCCCTCCCTCCCTCCCTCCCTGTTCCTTCTTTCCTCAATCCCTATCTCCTTCCCTTCCACCATCCCTTCATTTCTTCTCTCCCTCCTCTTTCCTTCCATCCCTGCCTACTTCTCCTCCCTCCCCCTTTCTTCTCTCTCTCCCCCTATCATTTCTTCCTCCGTCCCTCGCATTCCTGCCACCTTCCCCATTTATTTTGCTTGTGGGAAGCCTGCAGCAAGCGTAGAACAAGAAAATTAGCTTGTATACCTGCCAGTGGACCCTGAGGTTCAACTAATACATGATGCAGAACGTTCACAATTCTAGTTTTCCTGCTTTTTTAAATTTCAAAGCAGCCACATAAGGCTGTTACTTGGATTGTAGGAATAATTATGAGGATGAGACCCAATTGTTTCCTCCTGCAAATGCTTCCCAGTCTAGGTTGAATTTGCTACAAAATGGGATGGAGGTTAATATACCGGTATTTAAAACTGCAGGTTTCCATGAGACTAAATGGATGACAAGGTGATTCCCAGGAAAGAAACAGTATGGGAGAGAAGAGTTAAGCCCTTTCTCTTGCAAACCATCTCCCCAGATAAATTATTGACACTTTCAGTATTGACACTTTCAATAATAAGGTATTTTTGAAATAAAGATAAACGATATAACTCATCTCTACATAAATGATTTTGATCAAGCAACAGCCTCTTGTCTAGCTTGGATTAAAATATCTTTCTGCCTGTATTTTCCATCATATGCTCACCACAAAAATAATACACCTCCACTCAAATATTTCCAAGGCTTAACATCTAATAGGACTACTGTGCCCCAGCTCCTGCCAAATTAGCAGTTCAAAAGCATGCAAATGCAGCTAGATAAATAGGTAGCACTTCAGTGGGAAGATAACAGCATTCCATGCACCTGGGCATATGGTCATGCTGGCCACATGACCACAGAAGCATCTTCGAACAACACTGGCTCCCTCAGCTAGGAAATGGAGATGAGCACACAAACACACACACACATACACAGTCAGACACAACTGGGCAAGCGAAGCCTATACCTTTTTTTAATTTAAGCTGCACAAATCTGACCAATAAAGGGCAGCAAAGAGATCACTGCACTCCAGTTATCAGGTATTCCAGGAGTGGACCCAAGTTATACACCCAATCATGGTAAATCCCAAGCCTTCTGAAAAAAATAGCTAAGATTTTTAAAAGCATACTTTAAGGAATTTGGGAGCTCCCTTTACACATAGTCCTAGATTAACATGGCACATGGAAATGGAGGTAGAAAATCATGATTTGGGAACAGAAAAGTGCATTTACCATGCAATATAATACATTGCTTAGGAGAATGACTTAATTGACCCAACCTATCCACTGGTTAACATGGAGCATTTGGTGGACTTGTCTCACCCCTTCACCTGAACTCCTCAGGGCAATCTTCCCATTGGCTAATATGGAATTGCTTTAGCCAATGCATACACCTCCCCTTCTCCCCTTTTAAGGACTCTTGGCCTGGGATGAAGACTGGGGGTGGGGGCCAGCAAGGGCAAGCTGTCACAGCCTTCACATCCTGTGCTGATGATAAGGTCTATGCACACTTTTCCAGGCAGGTTATTTACTCCACAGGGTGCTTTCTGGGAAAGAAGTACAGCTGTGCTATGATGTCCCCAGTTGGCCTTAAGGTAAGTTTTGTAGTTCTTCTATTTTGAAGCAGAGGCCCTTGGGTTCCTACTGTGACAGGTGAAGCGAAACAAACAATTACATTTTTTAAGATTGCTACGTCTGTTGATCAGTCCAGCTAACTGCATGATTTCCCTTCAACTTACAAAGCCTTTTGGAAACCGGAGTGGCCAGAGCTGTTGGGAAGTACAGGGACTCAAAGTTTATTTTTAGCTAAACAGGAGAAGGAGGAGATCTCAGGACTTGGATAGGAAGGCACATATATATGAGCTTATTGCAGAGGTATTATCTAAATCAGGTAACAGCTGGTTCTGCCACAGCTCCTCATCCTCTGGCTGGACTGGCCCCTGGATACTAAGTCTGGATCTTGCTTAATGGGGAATTGGGCCAACCTTACTCCTGAACTGCAGCATTGTGCAAATCAAAGGAAGGGGATGCAGAGGATGTGAATGGACAGGTGACCAGCAGCAGCCCAAACAGACTATCCTTGATTCAGTGAGTATCTGAGCAATAGGGTACCAAGTTTATAAAAGATGTAAATTTATTTAGAGCAAATGGCAGCATTTATAAAATTAAAGGTGTACACACACTCCACACACCCTTTAGTATACATTCCCTTTTATTCAGAGTAACTTATACATCACTTTCTACCCATCCTATCTATGCCATTCATACTGAGTCAATTTGTCTGTGTTTCAACAAATCTTTGCTCCTTTCCCTTATGAGTTACTTAATTTTTTTAACCCCACTATTATTTTTGGTTAACTGAAGATAATATACATACCTAATGTCCCTGTCTCCTATTTTCCCCCAAACAACAACCATGTGAGATGAGTTGGGCTCAGAGAGAGTTCTGGCCCAAAGTCATCCAATTGGCTGTCATGTCTAAGGGAGATTTAGAACTCGTCCTTCCTTGTTTTCTAATCTGGTACCTTTCAGATCTGGCAGTTTTAAGATGTGTGGGCTCTAATGCTCAGAATTCCCCAGCCAGCATGCTGTCCCCAAGTAGTCTCGTATCCTTGTATTATGGGAATACAGGTCCCAAAATCCTTTGACATTGCCATACCTGCCATGCTAGAGGAACATTATTCTCTGTCATACTGGCCATGCAGTAACAGTTCTGAGGTAAAGCTGTCAATAAGTCCGGGAGCTCAGAAAACTAAACTTCTGCTCCCAGTGAAGACTCAGACTGGATCCTGCAACATTACCCTGGGACATGCATATCTGCCTTCATTCATGCCACATCTTAGAATCCGTGTGCTTGTAAACAAGGAATGGTGTTAATGGGCTCTTTCCAGCAATGTGTAATAACAATGGAAGCTATTCATCAACATGCAAAAGGATAATGGTGTATAATGAACTACAATTGTGCTTATTGCAAGTGAACAAAAGAAAAAGAAGATTTAAGAAAAGGAAAAGGATCTTGGTGAAAGCTTCACTGTTGAAAAGGTTTCTCTGGCTAAGATGCCTAAATTAAAAAAGCAATTGGCCAAAGGAGGCCAATGTCATTATTTAGATAGGCGACTAATTCTTTTTGACAGCTCAGTGCTTTGCAACACGGACAAGTAAATGTTTTTTTCAGGACACAGACTAATAATCTTGAGATAGAGGCTGACTGCTGGGTATTTGGAGGAACATGGTATCAGTAGTGAGACAGCATAACTGAAGATATGGCAAGGAAATGGGACAACATTTCTTACATTTGCTCAAACTTAAGTGGATAGACATTTTCTGAGAACGTTTCTGTCTGGATTTCTACAATCTTAGTATCAATAGAGGTCAGTTGGGTCATCTAACCAAGGAAACAATCAAACTAATCATCGAACTAATCAACCCAGAGTTCTCACTCAAGACAAAAATGTCCAGGCTCAAATGACCAAATTTTGGACACATTGTGGAAAAGGTGGAAGGAAAGATAAGAGGATGATTACCAGCAAAGTGAATGGCACCACTAGATCCTAAAGGACCCAGTGGAGGAAAATCTATCGATGTAGTTCCTAAGAGACAGAGTCAACTTGACGGCATATAATCAATCAATCAATCAGTTTAGGCTACTGAATCCAATCCTGTATTCTGTGCAGGTAAAACATCTCTGAAACATCTTTCTCACCTCTGCTTGACCACTTCCACTGTAGGGAGCCCAGAATCACCCTTCTGATTGCTCAATGCTTTTCTGACTACATCTCTCCAGGAGCAAGTAGGAGCTGGGCTCAGGGGCTAAATCATTCCGCCTGTGATTTTTCTGAACCCAATTAATTCTACTGTTTCCCCCTTTTTACATTACATCCCTTCAGGAATTTGGGGAGAATTATCACATCTGTTCCCCACTTCTTACTCTTTTCAATTTCATGTTAAAGATACCCAATACCATCAAGCTTTTTAATAGAACTTATTTTTCAGCTGGATGACAAATTTCATCATGTCCTTTGAACCTATTCCAATTCACCTACACTATGTTATCATGCTAAAAATCAAAAATTGTTCCAGACCTGAGTACTTTAGAATGAACTTGATGCAGTAATTGCTAAACTGGAAGCCAGAAGTAATTATATGTCTGATAGTACAAAGGCACTACTAATTACATTTATGTTACCATAATATATAAGCAAAATTCTGTATTTAAATTAGAGAATCTTATTAAAGATTTTGTGAGAGTATGCATTTATCATCATTATATAATGTCTGTGTACTAAACTAATTAGTTCCACCTGTTCCTTTAAAAAAAAATCCAAAATCCATAATTGAGTGCTTCATTTGCTAGGAGCAACAGACAAAGCATCGTTTCTGTGTTTTGCTAATTTGTCCCACTGAACAAGGAAGCTGGCCAGGTAATTCTGGAAGTTAAAATCTACACATTTTAAAGTTGTAGGATTCCAGGACTATGGATTACATTAAGGAAAAAAAACAGCTCCAAAAATGGTTATGGCAAAACTGCATGAAAACTGCATAGCAAAATCCCAAGAAGTTGAGAAAAGGCATTTTTACCTTATTTTTTTAATAGAGCAGGTTTTTTAATTGTACCTGTATTTATTTAGAGTATGGCATACAATGTCAAGGAAATCTACACATGCTAGACACAATACAGCCCTGACAGCCGACATTGCTAGTTCATTCCATTCGGCGCTTGTGCACCTATACTCAGTGCATCACAGGGAGCAAACTAGCTATACACCAATTAGCTAGTAGTGCTTGTGTTGTTACTCTTCCAGACTCCTCCGTCAATGTGCCCTCGCCTCTTGTGGCAATGCCTCGCATCTGGCCAGATCCAGCACTGGCTTCTGCTCTCCGCACACATGAATGCAGCTAGGTATTTTCCCCTCACCGAAGTGATAACCATTTATCTACTTGCAATATTGCCTACTTTTAAAGTGTTGGGTGGGCAGGAGCTATGGATCAAACGACAGGAGCTCACTCTGTCTCATGGTGCTGGGGGTCAAACTGCCGGAGTGCACACCATTCCTGGCCAGTGGTTCCAGCATCATTAAGCCTCCACACCATCACATACCCACCAATTGCACCTCTGAAAGATTCCAATGAGTTTACATTTTTGTTTGGCAGGAAGCAGAACCAATTCCAGAAAAAAAAATATTTTCTTTAATCCCCACCTACTAATTCTATTTCCAGATTAATGCCTTTTTAAAGTGGTAAGAAGAAACAATTCCTTGGGTCGATTATACTGTCATTGGAAACTGGAAACTGAAAACAGCCACAGATAGCCTATACCACATATCAAATATATAAAGTCAAAATAAATACTCTACTGTTTCAATCCTGGCGATTTGTTTACTGAAAAGTAGCATTTCTGCAGGAGTTTTAATTTCCTTTGTCCTCATGTAGCCTTTTCCCTCCCTAAGCTCCTCCGAAACAATTGCAAAAATGGAAGAGATGAGAGCAAGACATCTGGATGGCAGATGTATTGGATTGTCATAATGCATCTTCCCAAAAGGCATTTATATCATACACACCATCCTCATGATTTTCTGTTGTCCTTTGGAGACTAGCAGTGATGGCTGCCCTTATTTACTAAAAATACTTCTATGACATTAATAATATTATTTTCTTTTTCTTTATATCATAGAGCTGGTAAAGGCCACTTCACCCATCCAGCTGAAACACACACAGAGAGAACAAAAATTCAGATACAAGCTCTCACACAACAACAAAGTTGGAAGAGACCATTTAGGTCATCAAGTTTAACCCCCTGCTCAGTGCAAGAAAACCGACTGAGTTATCTCAGACAAGTTGACTGAACATATCCAATGGGAATAAGAGCCCACCATCTCTCTGGGTGACCATTTTCAGTATCAAGCTGATCTAACATTTGTGATATTTTTAAAAAATTCATGTTAAAGACTTATATACTCATTTCATTGTGAAATGGCCCAGGGCATAAAAGTAGCATCTAATCAATTCTCTACTCAGCTCACTCCCTGTATCCAGGTTCCAACTTTTCTCAAAGGCTATAAGAACTTTCCTTTGTTTTCCTTGTTAATTAAAGCTGAGAGTCCATGGATATCCAATGAAATCAGACACTCCAGTCTATTCTTTCTGGCTTTTTATTTGAAAGAAGCAAATTGCCTATTGATTAATTGAATGGTGGGGTAGCCATTAGCATCTTCCTTCCCAGTGAAATGTCATTCTTCTGTGTGTGTGTCCCCATCACCCTGACTCCTGTATCTGTGCTTTCATTCCTCCTGAATTGGGTGCAATCTGGATTTTCTCTTCTCCCAGAAAAACATCAGAAAAATCCTGGAGATGTTCAACAAATGGAACCCCATGAAGATGAAGATCAGGGGGGAAAAAGGCTAGTAACCTTTCACTCTCTCATTATTTCTGCATTTTAAAAAATTATTTGGGTGTGTTTTTTTTTGCAAAGATTCATAAGGATACAACTGAAAGATGGAAACTCTGAGAATCTAACTGGAGTATCATGTTATAAATAATACAATGAAGCTTGAAGGATGCAGGTGTTGTTATAAGAGTGAAGATCTTATTTGCCCTCCAGATATTACTGAATTACAACTCCCAGTATCCTTCATTACTGGCTATTTAAACAAGGAGCTCTGGCATTTGAAGCAATACCTAGATCACATATAAACCTAAGGTTTCCGCAACCTTAAGATGTGTGGACTTCAACTTCCAGAACTCCCCTGGAAGTTGGCTGAGGAATTCTGGGAGTCGAAATTCACATACCTTAAGGTTGCTGAAAAAAGAAACTCTGATCTAGAGGAATACAGATTCCATATACAAATGAACTCAACTTACAGCAGTTCATTTACTGACCATTCAAAGTTACAATGGGACCAAAAAAGGGACTCATGATCATTTTTCACACGTACAATTCTTACAGCATCCTCATGGTCGTGTGATCAAAATTCAGAGGCTTGGCAACCGATTCATATTTATGACAGTTGCAGTGTCCCAGGGTCATGTGATCACTTTTTGTAACCTTCTGACAAACAAAAGTCAACGGGAAAATTAGATTCATTTACCAACTGTGTTACTAACTTAACAACTACAGTGATTCACTAAACAACTGTGGCAAGAAAGGTCATAAAACGGGGCAAAATTCACTTAAAAACTCACTTAGCAACAGAAATTTGGGGCTCAACTGTAGTCATAAGCTGAGGGCTACCTGTAATTTTCTTGGCAACAAAAGATGCATAGTTTGACATTGCCTTTACTGATTTTGTTTGTTTTTAATTTCTTAATCTACCCTAAATCCCTGTTCACTCAGGGAGCCTCTTATATAAATACTAACCATTTTTAACCTTGCTTAGTTTTTTTCCCCCAAGGTCAGCCAAGGTCAGCTGGATGCTGCTGGATGCTGCTTCTGGACTAGCCATGCAATTGATGCTCAAATGCTCCTCCCAGAGGCACGTGCAAAATATGTTCCCAGATCAATCAATGAATATTCATCTCAGATTGGAATGAACACTTAATCCACTGATGGTTTTTGTCCTCCTAAAAAAATGCTTCAACTCCAAGGTCCTCAGAAGATTACAAGCCTCATCCTTTCCCTTTCTGCTATCTTTTCTATTCAAAATTCATCATTCCTTCTCCAAGCTTCCTACAAAAATAGTCAAAACAAAAAGGAATGCAAACAGATGAGTGCTCCCATTCCACTTTGCCAATTACAATAACTTTGTTTAAATTTGCAGGCCAACAATGCTATTTGTAGTTGAAAACAAAAAAACAGTGGAGAAAAGACTCAAGGAAGTACAGAATTATTCTGTCTGGACTATGATAAGATCTCACAGCTTCTCCTTTGACAAGTGGGTCCCCCCTACTCCACTCACTGGGAAATTCTGGGATTTGAAATCCACATATCTTCAGGTTGAGAAACATTGTTCTAAACTCTTGAAGGCACTGACAGACTTTGCTATACCTCACAGTGAACCCGATAACCTTTTACTGAGACAATGAACATTCAACTGGCTAAGGAGAATTTTGCAGCACATATATACTGCCTTTCCTCAAATATCCCTAACAGTAAAGAAACACTGAAATTCCATTTCCCTAAAACTGGTAGGGTACACATTTATGTATTACTTTTATTTCAACTTTTTCCTTTCGGATTTTAATTTGGCACACTTGAGGAGTGGGGTGGGTGGGGGTCGCCTGATTATTTTGTTTCCTTGTTTCAACAACAGCCAATGTACAGTAGTATCAAAGAATACCTTGGACTAGCTGTGAGACCAACCAATAAGTTATGTTACCCAAGGTAAACAATACTTTCTAATCAGAATACCACATCAACAAACAACACTGCTTGTTTAACTTCTCTGCCCACACACCTGGGGAAACAGCTAGGCCTTCATAATCTTAGGAAAGGATAACAGGGTTGGTGCCATTGGATGTCCAGGATGATGCTGTCCACAAGGCAGCAGTGTCACAGAAAAACCACAACTCCTGATCCAACAAGATGGCATTGTTCAATACAGGAGGAGGCATTCTCTCCCTATTCGATCTGGTGAGAAGGAGCAGAAGCAGTGGGAGAAATGTCCCACAAGGAGCCTGGCCTTATGTCTTGTAGGGTTTTATAGGTAACAATTAGCACCTTGAATTCCACACAGAAACCTACTGGGAACCAATATCATATGAGTACAGTGAAAATGCCCATAAATGCATTCCAGACTAAGTTCCCAATGCTTTTCAAGGACAGCCCCACATAAAGTGTGTTAGAGTAACCCAGAAAGGAGATGACAAAGACATGGATTACCACAAACAAGGCCTTTCAATCCAGAAATGGGCACAATATGTAGAAGACAAATCTTTCAAAAGTCCAGGTTATGGTTGGGGGTAAATAGAATGAGTGGTCACAGAACTTCTTCAATGAAAGGTGGGATATAAATTCAAATAATTGCATTGATAACTGCAATGAAAATAAGAACTTCCTTTTCAAGCATAGAGTCTTTGCTGCCCAAACCTTACACATGTTACCGATTGCTTACCAAGCCCTTGGTTCTGCTGTTCCCATTCAATTGCATTTGGTACATGATAGGATATTCCGGAGAGCTCTCCTGCAGGATTTTCCAAACCTTCCAAGGGTTCTTGTGAGGTTTCCCCAGGAACAGTAAAACTAGAGAGGTCAGCATCATCTAAGTTTTCATCGATTAAACTGGGTTCTCTGTCATCATCATTCTCTTCTTCATCCTCATCCATATCCTCCTCTTCCTCTTCTTCTTCCTCCTCCTCTTCCTCTTCCTCCTCCTCTACCTCTAAAGAGATAGGAATTAAAAGAAAGATGATATTGAAAAGAAATCATATTATGGTGTTCATTGATGGCAACCAGGTTAATGAATTGCTTTGTACTCCTTTTTTAATGAATTGAAGTAAAGTTGGAAGATGCTTGAAATACAGGCTGTTATCTTGTGTGTGGGAGAATTAATTAAAGTCTGTTCCTCAGTGAGGAATGGTAGTATTTGGAAAGTTCCAAAGATACAGCTACTCATCCAATACAAAGTAGTTTTTTTCTTCTTTTCCTCTTGTCTCATAATCTTGATGACTACTTCTACCCATCTATGGAATGAAGAATATCTTAAGAGGATGGCCTTTCAGTAGAGATGCTGTCAGGATTCCAGCAATCACATTAATTAAATCATGATTCTTGAGCCAAACTTCAAAGGATTTAATTGTGGTGACATACTGGCACTGCCCTGTATGAAGCCAACTCTGGCATACGTAATTTACAATCACCTGTGACCCTGTTTCCCCCCTCCCCCCTGGGTGTCTCATAAACCAGATTTTCCAATTGAGCATGTTCGTGGGCTGGGTGTCATCATTCACATTCTCCAATTAAAATATATTCCTGGGCAAAAACTCTGGTATTTTAGTTACAATCTTTTAAAGATAAGAGTTGGAATGTACTTTCACTTTGCTGCACTGCTCTTCCAGATTTCCTTCCCTCCCCCCCCCCCTTTTTTTAATGGCAATTACTAAAACAGGCATGGGAATGTTTTATGAGTTGACAGATACATTACAATCCTAATGTCGATTGGACCATTTGCCCAATGATTGATACTCACACCACTAGAAGTAAAAGTGGTTTAACTTCCTTATGGGTTTTTAAAATTTTATTTCATTTTACCCTTTATAAGTGACTGAAATTTTTGGGAGGCTTAACATACTTATTAGGGAGCTTAATTAGTGGGAACAGAAGGTCAAATATTGTGCCACTGAAAATGATCACTTGCTTGTGTAATTCTGGATGCTCTACCTGAATCTGCAAAACAGATGCATGCAGCATTGACTAACGGTGATTTAAGAAAATCTGCCCAAGTTTGGTGATCTCCAGATATATTGCGTATATTCTACAGATATATCCTACAACTTCTAGCCAGCATGGAAACAGCTTGTGGGCTGGGAATTCTGAGCGTTGGTCTAAAATATCTGGAAGGCATCATATTTAGATATCAATCAAGCATAATAGTGTCTTTAAGAGACCCTTGTTCTTATGACAGATGCAACTCTGTTTGTACTGGCCCAATATTAGAATTTATTCATCATTATCACGCATAATTTAGTCTTTCAATAAAAGCTTTCTTCATGCATACAATGAGGCTGCACTAGAGGCCTTTTTTTTTTTAATGAAATAGGAATGTTATCCATTGAATTTTAGTACTTTCCTGTCCCCTTTATTTCAACTGAAAATAATTAAATATCCTAGGTCAAACCAGTGGATATTTGACTGATCAATTCTCATACTTCCAGACATTGTGCAAAAGGATGAATGCAGTGATTTCATGCATCACAGAAAGAAATGCATTGGGTTCTTGCCTATCTCTAAAATATTTTGCTCTAACACTGCATTACCAAATTACATTACAGTCCTCGGTGTTAGAAACAAAAGGAAACATTGCCATCAGTTGGTCATAAAGAGTCCCTGCAATCTTCAGGGAAGTTCAGAAGAAGAAAAATCCCAGTGAAGAGGGAAGACATTAATAAGAGAAAATGCCAGCAAATCAATCAGTGAAATAACAGTTTTTCCATTTTTGTGTGTTTCCTCCTGATAGTGTTTTAAAGCAAAATAAATGCATAAACTAAAAATAATAAAGTTACAGATAAAAGTAATGGGATTAAAGTTGGTGTTTATTATGTATTTCTATCACTCAGATACACAGATAGAATAAAAACAGATGGCAGCCAAATTAAGAATTATGCCCGTCTTGATACTTCGTGAATAGAGACCAACACAAGCTGGATTCCCACCTTGATCCATGATTGGGATCTGTACACAACATCCATAAACAACGATGTGTACACATACACTTCTGCTGATACTTTCCACCTGTCAACCCTGAAAGCTGATCGAAGCAGAAAAACCTTATTTTAATTTTGACAAATCTAAAAAAGGAGGTGGCATGCTACAAAGGAAACTGCCAGCCTCTAGTCTATGGAGATTCTCAATCATCCAAATCATGGTTGTCCCAAAGGTGCTTTTTTT